CCCGGCGCCAACCCCCGAGCCCGCGCACAAACACAAGACGCGGCGGCAGCGCCACACGCACACATACACACACACACACACACACACACACACACACACACACACACACAACACAACACACACACCCAGCCCGCCCACCTTTGGCGGGATGGGCTCCGCCATGGCAAACAGCGGCAGCGCCAGGTTGGCAAAGGTGTTGCGGTACGCCTCCACCGGCTTTTTCTGCGGTACAGAAGCGGTACACGCATGCAGCACGTGCTCGTTGCGGCATACAAGGCACAGCGCATTCCAGTGGACTCGTCATCGGCTGCGGCGGCGGGGCCCAGCTGGCTGCTGCGGCGGCGGCGGCGGCGGCGGTGGCGGCGGAAGTCGAGCGGGCACCCCCGTCCCGCCGGAACCTCGGCCGCGTCAGCCCGCCCCCAGCACGCCCCCTGCTGCCCTCCCCTCTCACCTGCACTATCTTGTACAGCTCCAGGCACACCAGGCCTGCAGCCAGCGGAGGGCAGGGGTGGAAAGGAGGGCAGGGGCATGTCAAGACGGCCCAGACGGGCACACCCAGGGCTGGGTAGCCCGCCGTGCGGCCGTGCAGCGCAGTACAGTGCAAGTGCTGTACAGTGCAGGCCGGCGCAGATCGGCAGCGCAGGCTGGGCCGCCGCTCCAGCCTGCTGCAGCTTGGCTGTGGGCTGCAGGGCGGGGGGCGGCGGGCTGCATGCTGCCGCAGACTGCCACAAGACGCTCCAGACTGCCGCACGCCGCTCCAGCCTGCGCTGGCTATGCTGCTGCCGGCTGCCGCAGACTGCTCCAGAGTGCTCCAGGCTGCTGCCCAGGCCCTGGCAGGCAACACATGCTGCTCCGCTCCAGGCCGCCCGCCAGGCGGCCCCAGCCCCGCCCTAAGCCCCCCACCTGTGGCCATGGCGGTGGTGGTGGCGATGGCCGGGATGATCCGCCCTGCAATCAACTTCGCCTGCAGTGTGTTGGGGGGGCCAGGGGGAGGATGTGGTGATGGTGTGTGGGGTGCGCAGCGGAAGGGAAGAGAGCAAGGAAGCAAGGAGGGAAGGCAGGAGCACGGGATCGACCATGGGAGTGGGTTAGGGAAGCTGGCTGGTGAGCCCGCCTCCGCCGGTGCAGAGGAGGGTGCTGCCCGTGGTGGAGGAGCGGCAGGGGAGGGGGCGAGGGGAGGGGGCGCAGCGCGTCGGGCGGCGGCCGACCGACCTGCTCCCTCCCCCCGACACTGTCA